ACACAGAGAGAGAGTCACAGAGAGAGAGAGTCAGAGAGAGAGAGAGAGACACAGAGACACAGAGCGAGAGAGACACAGAGAGAGAGAGAGAGACACAGAGAGAGAGAGACACAGAGAGAGAGTCACAGAGAGAGAGAGAGAGACACAGAGACACAGAGCGAGAGAGACACAGAGAGAGAGAGACACAGAGAGAGAGAGTCACAGAGAGAGAGAGTCAGCGAGAGAGAGAGAGACACAGACACAGAGACAGAGAGAGAGAGACACACACACACACAGAGAGAGCGAGAGCGAGAGTTAAGGAGGAAAACTCACCGCTAAACTGAAGACATCTGTCCCACTAAAACCTGCAGTATATCCTAGATAATATAAACAAGACAATTTAATACTGTGTACATACTTGTGAACCAGACCACACATTCAACCCCTGAACAAACACCTTTCCTCTTTATTTCTCCTTAAAAGGAGTCGTAGTTTGACATTTTGGGAAAAGTTCTTTCTTCCTGAGAGTTACATGAGAAGACTGACATAACTTGCTAAAAAGAAAGCGACAGCCAGCTGCAGGTTAGCTTAGCTTAGCATAAAGACAGCTTTCCTGATTCTTTCCAAAGCTAACAAACTCTGCCTACCTAAATAGTTAACATGTTGTATCTCATTTACCCCACACACACACACACACACACACACACACACACACACACACACACCTTTTTGCTAAACTAAGCTAATCATCTCCTGGGTCCCTTTATTATTGTATAGACGCCACACTATACAGATGAAAAATGTACTGTAGTTCATCTCTGGTTAATGATTAGAATGTCAGTATATTTAATTATGAGTAAGGGGGACATATCAAAAACAGATGATATATGAAAAATAATAACTCTAAAAATGGTCAAAGAAAGACAGACATACATGTTTATGTACACATTCCTCTGAGTATACATACTGTCCAAATTAAGGCATTTCATCTGACCCAAAGTTGTGTCTGGATTTTCCTTCTTTCCCATTATTTTGTTTTTTCTCATATTTATCAGAATAAAGTCGTTTGATATTGGTATGAAGCTTACCAAAGTGCATTTGATGCCCACACTCTCTGCAGCCTGGAAAGCTAAGGTGAAGTTTCTCTTCTGAGAAAAGAAGAGAGAGTCAAAGTCACACTCTAACACAACGGCGATGACGGAGTCGTGGCGGCCTAAAGGTCGGGGCTTTCCTGGGGGCTCTACTTGCCTTCTCCTGGCTGGTGAGCTCCTGGTAGGGAATGTGTGCGGGCAGGTAGGTGTGGAGCACAGCGCAGAAGGCCAGGCCATCATTCCAGCTGCTGCTGAAGTTCGTGATGTCAATGTTCTGAAAAACAAAGCGGCGATCAGCCACGTAAACTTTGATTTAACGCGACAGAACAAAGAGTCAATAGAAAACCAATCTGTGGGTCCGATCTGAGCCGAGTATAAATTCAGTTGTCGTGGGAACTCTTTAAAATGATTTAACCACAGAGACCTGCAGCTTGATCTGTTGACAGACCTGGGATTTTATATGACGTGTCAACAGTACTCATCCATATCATATTTATCATCTTTTCCATCATCAACTGTCTGCTGACCTTTGCGGAGGCTGTAAATCTGTGACTTTTTAAACAACCACTAAGGTTAAATGCAACTCGACAAGCGAGTCTCCTCAACTATAATCTGGATAGTGTCGCTATGATTCAGAGATAGCCTCGTGCTTTTGTCAGGTAGGTAACTTGCAGGATGTATGAAATGTTGCACACTTCCTGGAGAGGAACCACAGAGTCATGGTTAGCACAACCGACATCAGTTTAACAGGAGTAAACCTTCAAGAGGCAGTGCCACACCTGTGGGTCATTTCTAGGTTTAACTTTGACATTTATTATCTCTGCGCACATGTAGACAGGTGAGCTTTGATTTGAATCAGTCTCAAACTGCATTCAACAACAACACCACCATCACACCGGACTGAAAGGACAGACGAGGACAGAGACGCACCTCAGCTCCAAAGAGGCAAAGCTCTAATCCTAAAGATTTGAATGATCTCAAACCACCGTTTTTGATTCTACTCATGGTCTGAATTTCTTCTGCAAAAAGTATTTACATTTTGTTCGTAACTCTCTATAAAGTAAGTTTCATTTTTAGTGGCGGAGTCCGCCATTCCCGCTCTGTCTTGTAATTTGCTACTTAAGTATGTACGAGGGATTCACAGGAAGTGATGCAGCATGTAATCCATCTTTACTGTTTTTCATTCATGTTTGCTGCCTCCAGAATTCTGGGAACTGTAGTATTAAACTGTACTTGCTGGTACCACCAGTAACCACAGGAGTCGCCAAATCAACCAGGACAACGTTCATGCTTTGTCACAGTCACTGTACAGCTCAGGGAGCTGCTACAGATTCAGTTAAGTGTTAAAAATGATTACCCTCTTGACAGTATGTACTGATCTAACAAAAAACAACAACAATCAGCTCCGATACTATAAAAGAAAAAACTCTGTCTCGTATTTTGCATGATTCATTGATTTTAACTACGAACATAAACATCAGTTTCTGACATGTAGTACAAAATATATTATACTACCATAAAACTCAAACCAGCGGAAGGAAAAACTGTTTTTGAAGCTCATCTTGTCGCTTTTGATGAGAACTGGCACTGTAATCAGATTACAAAAGGCTTCATACAACCTTTTTTCTCTCCCCAACTCCTGTAAACCGTGGTGTGTAAAACCTTTCGCTATGTTTGTTACTTAATGCCAGCTTCTTCCCAACATATTGGGGAAGAGTTCTAGAAACGTCATCATGTGGGATCGGATCAGCTGGTACCTTCCAGGGACCTACCTGATAACCCTCAGTCTTCTTCTGGCACCACTTCAGCAGAGCATTTCTCTTGGAGCCTCCATACTCTCTGGCCAGTGCTGACAGCGGGTCCTTTCTCTCTTCTCTGTAGCAGTCACACAGAAGACATGTGTGAGCAAACACTCAACAGTTTTAACAGATTTACTATGTCAGTGAGGTGAGCAGATTACATGGTAAGCATGTTTGCTTAGCGAGCTCGGAGAGACGTCCTGGGCTGTATGTTTTGTCAGGAGACCAATCGCGACTACAGTATGAAGAGGTGAAGTCAAACCGGCCGATTAAAATCACTGACCAGAATGAAAACACGGACTTTAAACCGGCAGCGTGAGCGACTCGTATCATATCAGTACAACACACAGGTGAGTTAGTGGCCCAGCAGGTGGTACCTTAGGCGGCTGCGTGCTGTGGGGGTGATGGAGGCGGTGGGGGAGGAGGAGGACAGGGAGAGCGGGGAGGAGGCAGCACTCATAGCCATCAGGGAGGTTGAGGAGGAATCTGGAGCAGACATGTCCCTCTTTATCTCCTCACTGCTCCGGCGGGACACTGCTCAGGATGGGGGACAAGATTAAAGACCGTTTTCTTCAAACTAAACTATCGACTGAGCTGGTTTAAAATCAGTTTGTTTAATTCAGTAAGCATCTCTGACCTGATATTGTCTTGGTGGAGTCCATGTTGGGGACCCTCTGGTGGACAGACGGAGGCCGGCTAGCCGAGGTTCCCCTGAGAAGGTGCTCCGCTGTGGATACATCACAGTATTTACATGACATATAGTGCTTCTATAAGGGACTTACTCTGGAATTAGATAACAGGGTCAATAAAAGAGCCACGTTCCAAAACAATCACTCAGAGAAAAATAAATGGATGGAGGCTATGGCCAAGTCTGCACGTTCACATAAAACACTTGAACTCATTACTGGTGAGAACGAACTGTGGGAAATTCTACATTACGTGGTGGTTCATCTTTTCCCTCTTATCGTCCCACTCCAGTGTTTTGATTAACTCAAACATGAAGTCAACATACAGTAAACCTGCTCACTGTCAACTTCAGGCCTCTGAGGGGTCATTTCTCACGAGAGAGCGGAGGTCCGTTCCTGTTAGTCCTTAGTTCACTGTGACAAAAGTGTAGCGGAGGGCAGAGGACTCTGGCATTTCCTGTGTGTGACCCATATTTACCAGCACATTATTCTGCCCTCTACGGCGTGTGGAGTGTGTTTAAACGATCACTGTGACGGCTGACTCACCTGGCATGGTGATGTCCGTGTAGCTGGGCCTCTTATCACTCAGGGAGGAGAGCGGCTTGGCTGCTGACATGGAGCCACTTATGGAGTGTCTCTGAAACAGCAAATAACAGCTTTCTGTATTACAAATCATGTAAGTGGTCTTAATTGAGAAAAATACAATCTAAAATGTGTAAATACAACATTTCTAAATAGCGAAATTAATTGTTGCTGTCCAAAGAAAACCAAGTGTCTCTAAATTTGGTGATTTCACAGCCTAAATTATTAATGCTAACAATCAAAAACCCACCGGAACAAAGCGGTTTTGAATTGCTCTTTAAAAAACACACAGACACATGGATTTCACAGGACAGTAAAAAATGATTTATATTATGTGTGTTTTGATTTATTATGGTTAGTTCACCTACAAGTGATATACTCTTACATATGTGTGCTCACCGTGTGAACAGACAAAGTTATTTATTATACAAAAAGTGTATAAGAATGAGTAGGATGTATGTTCACATCTGAGAGAGTATACTGCGAGTACAAATACAGAAAGGACATGGTGTGTCTCATATTTACTGTTCACACAGTTCACTGACTCCTGGGGAAGTTTGTTTATCTGAATATTAATAAACGCTTCACTGGGCAAAAACACACTATCACACACAAAACAATAATTGTTTGATCCTCATTCATGAGTGTTACATCCGGCGATAAGACTTTCAGTTGTGCAAGAACTTTGCAAACCAAACCTTGCATCAAGTCAGTTCTAGTTTTAACTATATTCATGTCTTTTAAAATCATGTTTGTTAATGATAAGTTTTCCATCTTACGTAGTTTTCAATGCCATCTTTTCACACTGCGGTCAATAAAGCTTCTAACTAACCACTGAAAAGTATGAAATGTGAAAGGTAACACGTGAATCCTGTCCTCCTGTACCTGTATGGGGGAAACAGCAGCTGCTGGGGGCGTCTTCATGGGACTGGGACTGAGGGGGGTGCGTGGTATCGGAGCGGCCGTGGCTGTTGGCGTCGCCGGGGCGCTCCCATTGGAAGGTGGACCTAAATTAAGAGCGAAAAGGAACGAACACACACAGCTCAGTTTAGACCTGGTCCACAACTCCTGATGCCATGAACTGCGTCAGGAGAAAAGTTCCTTCTGTGTGGACAAGCAAGGGATACAAGTGAGGAAAGCAGAGCATGTTGTGGTTGTGGGGTACCTTGTGAGGCACTGTCGAAGCTCTTGATGAGTGTTTTGACGGTGGGCGAGGGCTCTGAGGAGGTGGACGATCGCCGGCTGAGACCCATCCCCTGTCTGAGAGCAGCCAGGTCCCTCTCCACCGCATTCATGTAGTTATACACTCGGCCTCTCTCCTCGTCCTGCCTGGGAAACACACAGTACTCTGCTCAGTATGTACACTCACAACTCCTATGCTGTCATCTTCTACATCATGGTTGGAGGAAGGATCTTATTCTGGGGTTTATATCATGCTGTAGCGACAGTTATGGGGAAATTCTAAGTAGAAATAAATTGTTTATTCTGTAAAAGGCAATTTTTCAACTGTGGGATTCATCAGAGATAAATGGATGCAAACCCTATAACCGAGCACCATGAATCACAATCACATAAGCAAAGTTAGAGCTTCCCTCGTTTGTTTTACAAACACAAGACAGACGATGTCAGCGTGACGTTGGGGCTCGTCCAAGCATCTCTCCGTGGGTCTTACTTGCGGGTCTTGACCTCGTCCAGCTCCTTGCACAGCTTCTCGTTCTTGTCCTGGTTTTCCAGCAGCCGGCGCCGCAGGTCTCCGATCTCCTCCTGCGCTTCGGACTTGATGTCATTAGCAATGACGACAGCCGTCTGCAGATCAGCCTGGAACTGACGCCACTCCATCGACTCCTCCTGCACACACACACACACACACACACACACACACACACACACACACACACACACACACACACACGAGAGGAGATTTAACTTTCAATAACCATGGTTGTCTGTTCCAAAAATAGACTTTATACAAAGATATTTACATACATCACGTAGATGATGTTTCTGAAACACGAATAACGAGTTTCTATAATAGAACAGTCAATTTGATCATGAATGTATTCATAGAGATATTATTGTTAGTAGTTGTGTCTTTCTAGCGAAACAGCAAGTAAAGCAACTAGGTGGCTCGTGATTGGGTTTGGCCGGTGTATGGGCGGGACCGCGATAGTGTGGCTCCACCCCCAATCACAACTGCACAGACTTTCGCACCAGCGCAAGATGGCAGCGCCCGTATCGGCAATATTTTTGGCTTCACATTTGTTCAATGGGAGGAAGTGGAGATGCGTCGTCCATCTTTACATACAGTCTATGGTTTCAACCAGTGTCGACATAAAAGTACCGGCCTAAAATTGCTGCAGTTTCATGTGCCGTCTTCCTTTCTCCTAATGAAGCAATCTAAAACAAAAGAGCTTCATGCTAACTATTATTTGCATGTCTGCCCTCAAATCGCTCACTACCCGCCTGCAGCGCTCTTACCCTCAGTTTGCGGTGAAGAATCTTAATCTCTCTCTCCATGTCGTGCTTCTGGTCCTGCAGCTTCTTTACCGAATCTGAAACAGCAATATAAGTGAATGCATGTTTGTTTGACTCAATACCACAAGTGTTACACTGAAGATTCACAGTTAGAGGAAGTTTGACAAACATGGTGCCAGGAGATTAAGACTTTTGAGATGTGAAACATGATTCATTGGTTCTTACTGGCTGTTCCAGCAAACATGAGGGCGCATAAACCTACAAAGTCAGCAAAGTCGGACCATCACAACGAGTTTACACTGTTCCGTGTGTTCGGCCCGCTTACTCTCGAGGTCCGTGATGATGAGGTTGTCGTGGAGTTTGAGAGCTCGGTGCTGCTCCACCTCGTCCTCCAGTTCAAAGATGGTCTCCTTCATGTCTGCGATCTCGGTCTCCTTCTCCTGCAGCTCCACGCGCTGCTTCTCCAGCACGCGCTCCTGCTCGGCCATCTGCTGCTGCACCTGCTCCTGGAAGTGTCTGTAATCCCTGTCCAGCTGTGCGCGTACACACACACACACACACACACACACACAGGAAGAGTTGTATTGTTCATTTCATTAACAAGCCACGAAGTAATTAGCTGACTAATGTGCAACAAAGCTGCAGCAGTGTCATACAGTTATTTATAGAGATGTATTGTGTACAGTGTGTTAAGTACATCCTCTGCTTAGTGTCATGTTGCTAAGGTACCAACAGGAAGGTAGACTCTGGAGATTGGATGCTGAATCTGTGACATTTACAAGGTTGAATCTGGCTCTGCTCCACAGACAATTAAACTCTCAGTCCCATCTAGGCCAAACACTTAAATTTAGCATCCTATGGCTTCAGGAAACTGATGCCCTACACACTATTTCTGTAATAGCCTGCGATTTGACATCTCTAAATCTCTTTCGCTTTTCAACTCACCTTACTGAAAGTCTCCTGCAGCCGGGTGAGTTCGCTGTGGGCTTGTTTCAGCTCCTCCTGCAACTTCGCCGCCTTGGCCTCCGCCTCTTCTTTCCCCTGACGCACTCCTTCCAGCAGTTGGCAGATGTCATTTTTATCCCCGGCCGTGTGAAGGGAGTACAGCTCGGCCACCCTCTGCCTCTCCTGGTCCAGCTGGTTTCTGCAGCGGTTCAGCTCCGCCTGGTCACTGCTCACCGCGGCCTTGTACTCTTCTAGAGCGGCCCCCATGGCGGCCCGACCCTGTCTCTCGGACTCCATGATGCGCTCCATCTGGTGGTTCCGCTCTTTCAACGCTCCGATCATCTCCTGGGCCTCGGCGTTGTCCTGTTCAGCCATCTTCAGAGTGTTAGACAGGTGTTGTTGAACCCCAAGCAGCTGTTCTCTCTCAAAGCGGGCGTTGTCTGCCAGGTCTCCGTAGCGCTGCTCCAGCTCCATGTAGCGGCCGCTCTTGATGTCCTCCTCTAGTCCGTACGATATGTGATGGTCATCCAGCAGGGAGCGCAGGTACTCGATCTGTCGACCGTACAGCTCCAGCTTGTCGCTCTGCTGGCACAGGGAGTCCATGAGGATCACCTTCTCTTCGCCGAGCCGCTCGTTCTCTCCGTTCAGCTCCTGGGTGATCTGTTGCAAGTCGGCCAGCTCCTGCAGCGTGGCCTGGAGCTCCTCGGCGGTGCAGTGCTGGTTCTCCTCCATCTGGTGGATGCGCTCCGTCAGACACGCCACTGACACCTCGCTGGCATTGTCACTGCTGCCCCTCCGCGAGCGCTCCCTGCTGGGCGCGCACTCCGATTCGGATGACGAGGAGGCTCCTGAGGGGGCGTCCAGGGCGTCGTCGCTGGAGGTGACGGCCTGGTAGACCTCGCTAGATTCACTGTCGAGGTTGTCCGCTGAGCCTCCGTGCTGGTGTCCCGTGAGCAGGTCCTCCAGGGAGCCGGGGGCCGAGCCTTCCACCGAGGAGGTCAGCGTACCCGTTCCTCTGCCATCACTCTGCCCGCTGCCCACGGCCAGGTCCGGGCTCAGTGAGGCGTAGTTGAATAGCTTGTCGGACGCATCCAGCCTCTGCTCCAGAGAGAAGCCCAGTGCATTGAGCCGGTCTTTCAGCATCCGGTTCTCACTCTTCAGCAGGTTGAGCTCCACTCGGATGGCCTGGTTCTGCTCTTGTAAGAGAATCAGAGTGGACTCCACATCAGCTGCTGTGATGGCTGAAACCGGGGGCTTCTCCACCACCTCCTCCTCCTCCTCTTCCTCCTCCTCCTCCTCTTCAGCTTCTTCCTGCTGCGGCGCTTCCTTCCCTCCCAAGCCAAGCTGGGCCCTCATGCCCCTCAGCTCGCTGCGAAGGTGGAGGATCTCCACATCTTTGCTTTTCGCCAAACCCAACAGGTCTTTCACTTTGGTCTCCAGAGCCACCTTATCACTGATCTGGCCGTCTGATTTAGACTTGCTCATACGGCCATCAGGCTCTGGCAGGAGCTGGCCACGAGAGCGCTTCCCCGAGGCTGTGTCGCCCGCTGCAGTCCCGGAGACCAACTGCTTCTTATTGGCGGAGGTCCTGGATGTCCGAAGACGGTCTCGTGACGAATTTGGCTCCTTGGAAATCGATGTGGTTGTCCGCTTGGATGAAGCACCTGGTAAGAGAGAAAGAGGGAAAAAAAAAGAAGTACTCTTTACATTTTCAGTGAAACAACTTACGAAAGATGAAACTCAAATATGTGCGTAGAATATTACCCGACGTTGTCTTTGGCTTGCTGTCTAGGTTGCTAGCATTAGTCCCGGTGGAGGCCGTCCTCTTGGTCTTGTTGACGGCATTACTTGAACCTCCGGCCATAGCTGCTAAAAGATCATCATTGCTTTTCACCTGAAAGCACACAAAACAACCAATAAACTCACTTCCAAACAAGAAAATCAAATCAAATTCACACCTGCATGTAGTCGGTCACGTGACGAGTCTCTTACCTTAGACAGCGGTGCAGTAGTGCTGGTCTTGGCTGCAGGCTTTCCGGTCCCAGACGTCGCCGTGGCCTCCGCCTTCCCTCGATCTCCGCTCACCTTACTCACCGCTGGCCGGACCGACTTCTTCATACTGAGCTCTGTGACGCCGATACATTTACAGCTCACTCTGTGCACGAAGGAGGGGAGGAGAAAGGTAATGTATGTCAGTACACAGAGTGATAGCTCCAGTTTTCCATGGAGGAGGAATTCTTTCCACAGAGGCTATTCCCTGAACACTAGAAAATGGTGAGACCACACCGAATAGCTGAGCACTTGTAGAAAACCTTTTCCTATCTGTGGTTTATTCTAGATAGGATATTCCTTTGCTTATTCTCCCGATCCCCATCACTGCAGTAACATTTGGAAGCTGTTGAAACAACTTTAGGGGTGATACCGGACTCTAAAGGCGGACATTGAAATAGAGGCTTTCAAAAGGCCAACCGATATCTCCACTAGATGGCTCTCGTGTGTTTGTGATGTTTCAGTCAGTTCAGTTTCACTCGGCTGTCAGCTGCAACACCGACCGCGCCGATAAAGCGTTTAATCAGTGTGGGTGGTTTGCATGGACAAAGATGGGCAAGACAGAGTTTTTCCATCTTTTTCTGGTGCAGAACAATAAGCAGCAGAGCCCCAAAAAAGGGAAAAAAGTAGATTCCTTCTCAGATCAAAGTGAAAGCTCAAACCAACACAACTGCAGTCATATTTAGCGAGCCCAAAAAATATGAGTGTGTTAGTCTGTTACCGGGCAACCGGTCTGATGCACTGAATAATCATCTCGCACGGCAAAGAAATCATTTAGTGCCATGTTCGTGCAAGATGTGCTCATTCCACTTCACAATTACTGTTGCTCTATTTAAAACAACTCGACGACCCAGAAAAGATTCCTAATAACTATTTAATGGGAGCACATTCTTGAGCGTGATCTAGTGTGCTGCCTCGTGCATTGTTGCGAAAATGTGGCTTGAATTAATAAAAAAAAAAATTATTCTCTCAAACTACTTCAAATGAAGCACCTAAAGCTATGTTGGATGTATCTGCTGCCTATAAAACGGTGTTCATTTGGCAGTGGACAGGGCGGTGAAACTGGCTGTAACCAAATCACAAAAGCTTGTATGAAACTTTATTCTTTATTCCGTATTGTTCGCATGTTGCGTCCAGGTCTGAGGAGAACCTGACTCGATGCCACGATAGCAAGAAAAGTGATTTGGGACACATCTGGAGACAAAGAGTAAGTACTTTAGCACAGATTTGGTGCTCTTTTTTAGCTTGAAGGCTCTTGAGAGGAAACAAAGTGAGTTATTGTGCATCGGGAACACAACAAACAATCCATCTCTGAGGTCTGTTGTTTTCCTGAGCAGAAGTTTATTGTTCGGATATGGAAATACATATAATCACTAACTCGCAGTAAATCAGACTTTAAACAGAACCCTGTGAGAAGCACAAATGTTTAGACAATACGCAGACTGAAGCATTTCCATGAATCTTAACTACATACACACACACACACACTGCGAAAATAAATCAATATTTAAGGTCTGATAAAGCCGGGGGTGATCGGCACACAATAGCTCCCATCCAAGCCACATACATTGTCAACCTTCTCTCTCTCCACAGAATCCAAAATAACCTGCTACTAAACCACAACTCAACTCTCTTCAAAATCAAATACTTCTCTAATAGATTTCAGCTGTGTTTTCTTGGTACAGATGTTACTTTAAATCTGTCATCCTGCACCGAATCTTTCACTTTGAGCGTACTGGCTTGTCATCCATTTTCTTACTGCCTGTGGCGATATTTATTTTGGTTATCGTTTCTGTCGGGTTAACCTTGGCCTCCAGTGACGTAGATGCTGAGAAGTGTTTAGCTTCACCTAATTCATATGACCAGCCGACAAAGACACACAGCCCTGGCCTTCAGGAAGAGTTAGGAGGAGAGTTTGACTGGACTTCAAGATAAAAATGTGAAGTTGCAGGACCTGAAATCTTTACTCAAAATAACATGCCAACTGTTCTTACAGCAATAAAACACAGGTCACATGCCATCAGACCACAGACAGTTATGTGTAAGGTTAGAAAGAAACAATCTTCCCCGCCTCATGGGGAGGAAATGGCGAATAATGTGTCTCAGCTGGTAGATTTTAGTCCCTGAAAACAGACAGCAGGGTTATGGTTATGACACAAACTCAACTTTCAGAGTATACTTTGAAGCATGTTTGTATCTGCAACTTCTTCGACCACTCATGAATATAAAGTCTACGTCGACACCATGCATCTTTCCCCCAGTCAGGGTCTCCTCAGTTTGAACATCTGCATCCCCACAGGCATCACTTTATTTGGAAGCTTTATGTTGTGGCCATACTCATGTCTGAACAGGTCTCGCTACATGTTACCCAGACCTGGACTTTGTATGTCGACAGGTCATCTTAACTTATATACGCAGCTATGAATAAATGTCGGGGAAGCTTCTGTTGTCTTGCCAGCACTTCGACCGTCCTGCTGCGCATGTCTTCTTACGTATTTGAGGGGTACAAAGATGTGTATGAGCACCAACGCAGCTGCTAAACTCATACATGCCACCAGGCGACTATCGTCTCCAGCTGAGGCTACAGGACAATCAATAGGACTCAGCTTACATTACACTATATTATGACCCTTCTATGTAACACTTCCCAGCCTTATCTGCACACATAACTCTGTACGGACTGCGTGTGCGTGTATTTATTCATAAAACAAACGGTTGACAGGGCGTTTTACCAGAGCACTGACATGTGCACTCAGAAACTACTGCAGCCAGTTTTCTGAATAGCTGAATGTGTGTCAAAGCAGATGTCTGAAACAGGGAGCAGCTAGCTGAAGGCAGATCTCTTTTCATTGGATCTGAATAGACATGGGAGCACAGGCTGTGGACCAGAAGTGCAGCTAAATGGGGCAGCTGCCTTTTCCTTCACTCTCTCACTCTGCAAATCTCCAGCAAACAAGGGTTTGTGTGTGTGAACCACTTTAGAAACTTTAAAAAAATAATAACTGCAATACATATACCATGCATTTATAGACACTAGCCTCTCAGACTCCACCGTCGTATACACCAACATCTGTGATGAATCACACCGCATTGAAAACAATGCCGTTTCTGTGATGCTGAAAAACTATTTTCTTTGGTGGCCCCACAGGACCGTTTGAGATAATGATGCATTGTTGTTTAAATATAGCACACACAGAAATGAAAAGGTTTCTATACAACTAGCAGACATTTTCTAAAATATTAGCTAACTGCATCAATCTGTTGAGGAGGAAGAAAGATTGTGGGTGCCGATATTCAGAATCTACTAAACATCAAAGGATATGATTATTTAAAAATGTAATAATGTTGCCTATTTAATACAAAAAGTCCATCATTATCCATGCTATGAGCGCTAAGAGGTTGTCCACAGAATTTACATGCGACTCAATTTAGCCATGTAGCTCTGTGCGCTGCAGAATGTAAGCTGCTCCTTGATACGCCAGAAGCCAATAACACTTAATCCTGATTCAAATTAAATAGAGCGGCAGTATTCAATTTCAGTGTTAATGAATGCAATGGATCTGATCCGAGGCTGGCCAAAGGAACAAGAGTGTGTGTGTGTAGTGTTCCTTTACAGACAGCCGGATGAAGCACGAGACGGAAAACGCAGAAGAAGAAACAGCCGAGTTGAGTCTGGGGAGAGAAAGAGGGGGGGGCAGCAGTGGTCTAGTAACTCATTAATGCCCCTTCCCTGCTCGCCTTCCTTATTCACACTTTAACTGCGGGGAGGCACTTACTTGCCATAACATCAGTTTCCTGTGGTAAAAAATACCCTAAAAAGGGTGACTGTGTGTGTACAACGACAAGCAGGCACCAGTCTGCTTGAGACAGAGCAGACACTGTCAAACCTTGAATTTCATTATATAATAATATGTCTATTAATACACAAGCCTGGAATGCAATTAAACAAGCCATTTTTTATGATGTCGGCTTACATTAATATTTGCATCGGTAAAGAAATGATTGAGCTGTGGCGTTTTTGTGAGTAGTCCTGCCTAACACAACTAATTGAACCATCTTTAATACATTTAACCAATGGGTGTAAACCTGACATATTAGGCTGTCTTGGGAACACATTTATTTATTTATTTACTCTCACCTCGGGGCAAAGTTCCCAAGACTGGAGAGTTTTCCCCCCAAAAAAAAGATTATCTAAGAGCAAAGCAATGATCAGGCAGAGCCAAGGAGTGTCTCATAAGTCAGATTTACCAAGACATTGATTTAAAGAGTGGGCTGTGAAATATTGCTCTTCCTAAGCCATTTCCAGGAAAGTTGGGAAACATCTGTGGTCAAAGGGGGAGATGATTTAGTATGAGAGAGAGGAGGATTTAGGAAGATACTCAAGAGAGGCCACAGCTCTGCTATAGTACGCCCAAAGGCCACTGACATGCTGCAACATCACTTCACTGTTGACTTTTCTCAGGGGGGTGGCACATTTACATTGTTCTTGGGCTACACCTACATTAGCAGCCGCACGGCTAACGTTAGCCCAAACAGAGTGTCATTCAACCACACAAGCAGATGCTTCCACCAACCAACACTTTGAGATGAAGACAACAAACCCACTATATGGAGAGAGCATACGCAGGTTCAATCATGTTGTAGACAAAAATATCAACTTTAAAACCAAGGAGATAACACAGCTAGCTAGTTAGCCATTAGGTCAGGCACGCAGGGAATGTCAGTAATTTCACTTCCTGTTTGGCCACACGCCTTCAAAACAAAAGCACAGAGCTAGACACGTAAGCACAACCCTTCAACAACTCTTCATGACAGTGTTGTTATTATATCAAAACTCTGACAGAGCAAGATTATATACATAGAGTTAAAGTAGAGGTATAATAGATGATATAAAGTAAAGTATAGTAGATGTAATATGGGTTATACTGCCGATAGTAAGAGCCAAGACACTTCCAATTTACTATAAGAGTCAAAACAGTGTAAATACCTTACATTAGCGAAATCATTTAAAAATATTTAGCTATAGTTAACGTAAGCCTTGTAAAGATGTGCAGAGTATTAAAGTAGTCCAATTAGAAATGTATCACAGAATTGATTTAAAATCATCACAAACAAAAGCTTTGTGACAAATGTACAGTCAACAAAACTACTGTTGCAGTTAAACTTAAATAACTTTACATTTTAAATAAAGCGGTGTTTACCACAGTTAGTTACACTGACGCACATTTAATTATGAACGACACTGAGGCTACATGTCAACACCTCATAACTTATTTTGAAATTTTCTTTAGTATAGGTCCAAGTGATTTCTCCTAGCTTGACAGCTGACCAAAAATGTGGTTTGATGGTGCTTAAAACAGCAATTGTTTGCTATTTAAAACAAACGAACAAACAAAGCGAGTCTCCGTACTCAACGTAGCTTCAGATTAGGTTTGTCCGTTTCTTTTCAGGCAGTTAATTCACCTCAACTGCCAGTTAAGCAACGGCCAAGCTAAGGCTGCTAATGCTATCGGTAGGCTAACGATGTTAGCATAGCCGGTAGAAAGACAGCGCTCTGTCAGTACGAAGATGAACTATTCATACCTGAGGTTCTCCTAATGTTTCTGTTTGATACGTTGATAAATGTCCGATGCCTCGTCATTTGTAGGCGCTAACAGTTCGCTCATTAAACAACTTCAGATTGCAGGCAGCATCAGTTTCTTTCTGTTGGCAGCAGCCGGATGATCCTGTCTCCCCCTCCTCTGGTTGCATCACCCTCTGGACAGGGGGGACACTTTACTGCCTCCAGGATCTCTCAGTATCCAGTGGGTCGTTTATTGGTGCTCCTAAATGACTCCAGAAGCTCGGCCAAAAGTCTGCAGCGCCTCTCCTCAACCAAGTCCACTACACCTTCACACCCTCTGCAATTAAGAGGAGAGTTAGTGGGCACATGTTGGCCAAAGTTACCAAGAATTATACATACATCTTTACAATATCTCTAAAATATAAAACACCTTAAATATAAGACTATTAACTATGTGGACATGTGCATAAATCAGTTTTTTTGTAAAAAAAACAACTTTATTTTTGTTTTGGTGGTTGCCTAATGATAACAGGTTGAAAGTATACTTACCTTTAATTTACCATTATATTATTGGAAATGTCTAGGTTAATACGACACGGCACATACCCGGGGATCCTGGACCACCAAAGCCCAGACACAGTAAACGTGTTTTTAATTTACAGGCTCATCACTGTCCTCTATAGTCCCACACTGAACGACTTGCATGACATCTCAGGTAGAATTCACACTAGACTATACCATAAATATATTCATAAAAGAGGTACAACTTTAAGAGTATCTTTTTATCTCATGCTATGAAAGTAGACATTGCAAGAATAATGTTGCCAAGTTTTTATTGACATAAATCATACACACAAGACTCACCAGTCTCATCCTACGAATCGCTAACAGTTTATTGCTTTTTTACTTAAATCACAAGCCTTTAGGGTTATAGTTTGTGCTAACAAGTGTTTGAATACTTGTAGGGATTTGGAAAAAAAAAATATTAATGCAAGAACAGTGTATTTTCAGTAAGTAATACACGTATGTGGATGATAAACCTATTAATAAGCCAGGAGACGTGGAGATGAGTGAATCACTGTGCTTCAAGGGTCCTACATTGGTATTTGAGATAATCTCCGGGTGCTCTCATTTCTACAGCAGTGTGGTTTTGTCCTATATAGGTAGACTACAGACCAGGAATGCAGGAAGCAACACATAATACATCAACAGAATAAATCAAATCAGAAAAAAAAAACAACAACGTGGACACAAAACATAGGAAATATGGACAAAAGACAACTGTGAAATTAAAATGATACACAGCACAGAATACATTCCATAGATCAGGCATCTCCTCTTCCTGGAATAATTTGCCATTTACTTATCTGTACCACTTCCCAAAAAAAAAAAAAAAATCACTCATGTCTACATAAAAGTTGGTTTGGGCACCACAGGAATAACCTGTGAACTGAATACGGGCGCTATACAAATAGTACAGCACAGATCCCACCACGCTTTAAATGCTTTGGTCAACATGCCTGCATGTTGCTGTGTGTTAACTACAGTTTTCAGTCTCAAACTTTTTAATTCTGTACAAAATGAAGAGTGTGTGTGTGTGTGTGTGTGTGTGTAAACATTTGGGTAACTGAAACGTTCTATTGGCCATCAGCAGGGAAACATTGGCACAGGTGAGCTTTCAACCAGGTCAAACATAGACTGTATAGACATGAAAAATATCTGTCCATTCATCCGACCATTCATTCATCCATCGTCCGTCCACAGAAATACATCTTACAATATCTAACTACAGCAGAAATCTCCCTCTGTGAAGATGGAGCTAATGTGCACAGTGACAGAACAGACCAGTGGAAAAAAAATCTAAGTACAGTAAATAACGCCTCTTGAAATTTAAATTAAATTAAAAAAGGAATGATGTATATATTGTACATACATCATGTAGGGTTGTCTTTTACTGACACAGCAGGCAAGCTTGTAGGGAAACAGAACGCACATCTCCAAAAGACATGGCTTTGGTCATGGTGGCCATTTCTAGGTCGCAATGTGTCGATGGTTCCACCTGGTGGCTAAAATAAGCATCCTCAGGGTAAACCAGCCAGCCGTGGCTGCTCAGCAGCGTCCAGCTCATTGAGCGGCAGACATTCTGCCTCTGAACCGAACATTTACAGACATAATGTTCCTGTTTATACTTCAGTGGAGAAGAGAAGGCTTTGACGTTTGCTGTCAGGGGTAGGGATGCTCTCCAGCTGAAGGAAGTAGAGAAGGACTTGCACCTGCGGACACAGAAAAGGTGATCAGACCCGCAGTCCAAATGTCTCCGTCTCACTTATCAACATCCCGACGCGGGTTTTACCTGAGACATGACCTCTAGGGACCAGCAGTCATTCATGGAGATGGGCTGCGAGCTGTTTGAGATTTTGCTGTCCTTTTCAGAGGGCCGCAGCAAAGTGGGGCCGAAGACTGTGGCCAGATTGTGCAGAGACATCTTATTGATGCTCTCATTTTCAGTCACCCTGTAAGAGCAAAGGAAAAAAACTTGTGAACTGACTCAGTCATGTATCTGAAGTTTGCCAACGTTAGCTAGCGTTCTAACAGGAAGAATGTTTTATTTAATCTTTTAAAAGTTACACAGACTTGCTTTAATGCATGTATATGGAAGCCCTGAGAAGGAAGTGAGACAAATTCTGGTAATTTATTATCTATGTCTGATCTTTGTTGTTTTTTCTTCTGTGTTTATGACTTAGGAACACGTGAAAGACGGTTTGCCCAAATACATTTTCAAAGTTCATAATTTTTTTTCCATCGTATAAACAGATGAGAACATGAGATAGTGTTGCACTTCACTTAAAATGCCAAACCTTTTTATTTTTTACCTGTTTTCACAGATGAAAATTTAAAGAAGTAATTTAGAAAAAGTATGCTGGAAAAACTTGCCTCTCAGGGTCTTCGTACAATTAATAATAATAATAATAATAATAATAATAAGATCCAAACCCAACAGTACGTATTTACTGTATTTCATCACTGCTGAACACTATGTCAACTATAACATACTTGTTTCTCCTCTCATCACAATGTAAAAGTCTGACAAAAACTTTTTCTAAGGTGGGGGTAACATACATACACTGATACCTGAAAGCTCAAATAATGTAATATTTGTGAGGTCTTTTACCTTTTAAGGTGGTCGAGCACGAAGAGGAAGGTCACCAGATTGGGCTCCGGTAGAGACAGCAGCAGGTTGAGCATGCAGCTCTCCTTGGCCACACAGTCAGAGAGAGCTGCAAGGCGAAAAGCACACAAAATAAATGTGCTGGTATTCACAACTTGCACTCTGCATTGATGCCTTCCTTGATCGCCAAAAAAAATGTTGTGCCAAAATAAAGAAGTGGGGACTGACCGATGCCTCCAGCAAAGTTGGGGTACAAGTCATCAGTGAAAAGAGGCTCCGGAAGCTCGCGGAAATACAGCTTCAGTGTTCCAGCGATGGCGTTCACGTCCATCTCCCTCATCATGACAGACACGTCTCTGTTGTCTGCGGGGGCAGATGACGCAACAGTCACTAAATGCCAAAGAATACAAGCTGCACAGTGATCTTTGAAAAACACTTCTAAACGAGAGTATGAGTCAGTCCTGCAGAGCTTGACAAGAAATCAAACTGAGCTCACTCGAGTCGAAGGCAGCCTTCAGTGCCTGGATGTCAGTTGCGACTCCAGACACTCTGTAGATTCCCACCTCGTCCATCCCTCGTCGCTCAATCTCCTCCACACACTGTCTCACAATGAGGGGAACCTTGGAGCGTTCTCTCCTGGTGAGGACGTAGTCACACAGAAACACGTTTTTAACAGACACTTCATGTGAATGTTGTAAACACAAGAGACCATGGTTTGAATAAGTACCATGTCAGAGTATAGTGAGTACTGGTGCTTCTCAAAAGACCAACTCACTTAGTTACTACGTTGATCTTCACTCCAAAGACGCCGGACTGTTTCCGTGAAGGCATTCGCTTTAAACTGAACTCTCTGCTGGTGAACTTCATCGAAAGCTTCACCTCGACCTGAAACAAGCGAGGAAACCAGAAATTTCGGACAACTATGACAGCAAGTTGTGAAGGAAGTGGTGCCAAAATGGAGAATCAGATGCTAAATGTCACAGTTTAGCTTTCACTCAACTTTCCTCTTTTTACTTACTGGGTTGCTAAAAAACACTTACCCCATTCATGGTGATGACTGCCCTCTGCCAGTCTTTATTTTGCAACGTCTGAGGATCCAGCTGAAAAAAAGAAAAAGAAAAAAAAAAGGAAAAGTTTTACTTCACATTTAATTATTCAGATTCAGATTCTCTTCAGAAATAAAAAAAAAACAGGAAATACTGTGCCAGGTGATATGATACCTGCTCCACGACTTCACTCAGCCCCACATGAACATAAACTCCGTATGGCCAGGTGGTGTCAGGGATCTATTTTAGTCGTCTGACTAATACCAATCTGATCGCATGTATTTACAGTGATCAGGCATGAGTAATGCAATAACATCATGTCCTGCTGCTAAGTATTGTGCCTGTCCAAGATGGCAGATGTTCTTTCAACCAAGAAACCATCAAATCTCATTCAGTTAATCCTTTGTTCAGTGAAAATCTATTTTCTTCACAAAAAAGAATTTAAAAAAAGAATCACAGGCTAGAAAAGTGATGAATTGAACACTCTCTGACCTCTGAATTGAATATTATTTCAAATTGTGTTTGAAATAATATTACATATCACCAGAAAATGAGAGAACGCAAAAACAAGTTTGTCCATGAATGTAGGTTCCTGAGGCTTCGTTTACGACAACATCCCATGTAGGTTTGTCCACAGCTCACTTTCCATTTCTTTACCTTTGGTCTGATCAGACTGCTGCGGACTCGGTCCCACAGACGGGCCCCCGTACCCGGGGATTTCCTTTGAGCAGTGTCCCCCTCTTCCTCTAGACCGCTGCTGACCTGATCCACACTCTCCTCCTCTTTAGGATTACTGTCACTCATTCTTTCTGGCATGAGCAACTCTAAAATGTTACGGTCACTGACTAACGGCAAACAAACAAAGAAACCAGCGCTGGTCCACAGACAGCACTATTTTCTAAACCGTGTCACTAACAAGAGCAGCAGGTCCGTGTTCCCTGAACAACCAGCACCTGATCACATTGCCTTGAAGAACTCTGATGATCTTCTTCGATGCAGACCAGCTGAATTTTCACAAAACTTTCCGTCATCTTCACGTCTTGGTATTGTTATACTCCAAATCCTTTCGTTCCACTGGGAGCCAGAGAGGAACAAAGCCACGCAGCCTGCCGTCCACGCTTGCCTGTGTGTTGTTGTACTTTCCTGATGGATTTGGGGGATTAACTCCTGAGAATCCCCTCCTACCCTCATTACCAACATGCTCACGCCTGCCGCTGTGAGCAGTGCAGGCTGATAAAATAGCAGCCCAGGTAGCAAAAACAGGTTCCTCTCTGGCCAGTAACGGTCTTAATGTCCTGCCTCAGCTAACACAATGTAATTCTCATGGATATGAAATGCTAAAAATGGTCATACAGGTTAATCAGTATTATTTGTTAAAAGGCTCAAGTATATATATATATATATATATATATATATATATATATAGTGTATCAAATGTTTTTGTATTATATGTATATATATAATTATATTATATTATATATAAAAAGTTTTTTTATTATATGTATATATATATATATATATAAATATAGATAAATATATAGTTTATTTTCATTTTCTAAATATTTCTTATTGTCTTTTTTCTTTTTCCCTTTTTATATTTATATATATGTGTGTGTGTGCATATGAGGTTATACAACCTCAAAATTCAAATAATTTAATTGTTATACTAATTTGTTGTGTCATATTGTCAAGTTTCGTCTCCATACCATTGCTGTAGACACCAACAAAACAAGAAGAAAGGACAACATGACACCACGGGTCATGAAAGTGATTTAAATGGCTGACAGGTTGTCCTTTCTCCAGGCTGTTGGCTCCTGAATAACATGTCAAGTATCTGGCTGAGACTCGACAGAGTTTTGACCAACCTGTCCAGCAGGGAAACCCCTTCACTGGCTGATCAAAGAGCGCTCTGTCGCTCTCTCTCTGTCATAGTCTGGAGCCGTGCCGACGGCTACATTTGGTCAAACCAAGACTAATCCGCCCTCTGTCACAACACCCGAACAGGGGTCAAGCTGAAGTGACTTACTGGCTCACTTATATTTCATCAGCAAAGGGCCTCCCAGGGCAGGATTAGCCCCCCCAAAAAAAGCTGCTGTTGTCAGCAGTGCAAATAAGATGCCACTGTGGAGGTACTAGAATCAATAGAGTGAGCAAGTTCACTCCACATAGGCAATGATTGTTTTTCCTATATATGTGAGTGGAACTGTATAGATTTGTATTCATACCGAGTCCGTAAATATAGATTTTTAGATCAGTTAATGTACCTTACCTTTCTGTGACTGGCAATAAAATAAATAGTTTGGCATTTTGGGAAATACACTTTTTATGATCAAATATAAAGCTACAGCCAAACACATGGTATGTCTGAGGTAGTGCACAAGTTGACAACTTTATTGTGTAAAATGTCCCACTCAGTACATACAGTTTCTTGATAATATTTCTTTCATAACTAACTTTAAAAGATACTCATTAAAATGTTTGTTTATGCTCTGATGTTAAAAATGAATGTCTTTATAGTATTTTTTAACTCTCAGTTATTGATATTGGTTTGGACCTTAAAAATCTAGAAGCGGTCACTTCTAAGACAAGTGTGGTAACTTATACCCATCTGGTCCTCTCAGGTATTTCCCCAAAACACAAGCACATTTGTCCGTACCTTTATTTGTCCTTTGGCCGTGATCTTGTCTGCGGTCTCTCCATCCTCTTTGCTCTGCTTGCTTTTGTTGCAGCACTTCTCATAGCAGAGCAGCCTCAGAGTTTGAGAGCCCTCCAGTTCAATCTCAAACTCCTTGCACACACACAGAGCAAAAACATGTTACTCTAGTTTTCAGCCCAGTGCACAACAATGTGCTTTTATTCCATCCACTGAACAGTTTTTCTGAGCATCCAAAACTGAGATGTTTGATTTTCAAACATTTATGTATCAGGGAAACACGGCCTTAAAGACACACAGCAGTGGATACTGAAGGTGGATCTCACTCATTATTAGCTTTCTCACCTCGTTCCAGTTGGGCTCTGTAGAGTCTCTGTACACGCGTGTTTTGGCTTTGTTGACAAAGTAGCCGAAGGAATCCACCTCCAGAGAGCAGTAAAGGTCTAGTGGGCGCAAGCAGAAGCAGTTTGAACGTTTGAATCAAAATGAAACTGAAGACTAAAGACTCACATCAATCTACTCTCTGTCTGGTGTCATTACAGTTACTGTCTCAGTACCTGAAGAAACGGCAAAGAGGAGTGTAACCCCCTCTTATTGAAACATGCCACTGATTATTACCCGACTACCTTTTAAAAAGTTTGAGCAGGCAGTGATTTGAGACATATTTGAGGCTGCTTGTACACAGTGTTCCTGACTAATCCTGCTTGTTCCAATGCAGCTGTCCACCCAGCTGACAGCCGCAGAGAGAGAGGGGGGGGGGTACAACAGATGACACAGAGGATGATGAGACACCGCATGCAACCTCTAGAATTATCAGTGAGATGACTCGCTGTCAAAAACAGGAGAATAACCAACTTACTTAAGCTGTGTTTCAGCCCGGACGCAGAGTGGACGATGACATTCAGGAAGCCGTACAAACCAGAAGATTCATCATCTACGGAGGGTGGCGTTAAGAAAAGATTACAAAAACCGTAGGTATATTACAATATATATTAAACCCTAAAAAGTACAATGCATTGCGAACCTTACCTTCCTTATTCATGGTCATTGGAATCGTGTGAACAGTCTGCAGTTTCACACACGAGTTAGTGAGCATCTGCAGCTCCAGAGAGGTCAGAGAGAAGCTTTTAAAGCCTGCAGGAACACAGTCAAGGTGAATGCAAGCCACACACACAATATGACATTACAACCGTTATGACAATACTCTGATGTCTCTTGTAGAAAGTGCCGGGTTAACTCACACTTCTTCTGCTGCTCGCGAACGATCTCCCTCCACTCGGCCCGTTCATAGTCGGAAGAGATGAGAAACGTGAAACCCTGAAAGAAATAAAAGGCATGATATTTTGTATTTTATTGCACTCTCATTGCTGTAATGGCACGCTTGTTAACAGCAGAGGGCAGCAGAAACCATGTTAAGAAGTTGTTTATTGACAGTACAAGATATTCACAATGATATTTAGCATGAATCTTTTATATAGGGAACCTTCTTTAGGACTCCTGACTCACCTTGCCGTTTCGGTTGGCCACTCTGAACGCCATGTTGGGCGACATGAGAAGCAGCAGAGACTCCTGTTCTGATAGCTTCTTCCTCAGTCGCTCGATCACCTTGGGTCCTTTGGTGGTTCTCTACAGATTAACAGCACCAGGTTTACTGTGAGGCAGGACATGCTGTCTAGACATTTGTTCTATTCTATAACTTCCTCATTGTATTTTAGTTGTGTCTACAAAGCCGTCATTGTTGTGGTGTTTGTACAGTGCAGTTACTTCACGTCATATAAACGATCATAAACTACATATTTCCTTGTATTCTGAGGCTTGGGTTTCTGTAGGTGTATTTAATATCTGTGTATCCTCACCTTCTCTCTTTGGATCTCGTTCTTGATCTGGGAGATTCTGATCTTCAAGGCGTCGATCTCCTCATCCTGGACCAGCGGGATGGGGGTGGACTCACAGTCCTCAATGGTCTGGAAAGTCAGGTCAGCCAGTGGGACGTACCACTTACAGTCGTACTGTTGCCCTTTTCTGTTGGAGCACAAAATGTGTGTATAACGACATCAAATTTTTTTCTTTTCACCCAGTAATTGTCATGTTGCCCTGCTCTTTCACCAGAATGTGTTTTTAAGCAGCGTGAAACCAACAGTACAAATAGACACAAGCTTGAAAACTGTTGGCGAAACAGTTGGAGATGAACGTTGTACATCTCCAACTGCAACCGCCGGATGGTCACAATGAAACTGTTCTATGTCCAGCAAAGCAGAATTTACTTTTAACAAGTTTATTGTCTGTCTGGGCAGGAGTGACTCTCATTCCCCAACAGGGATTTTGAACCAGTGGATCTTCCAGGTCACCGAACCTCGGGCTGGACGCCGACCCAGACTCACCCTGCAGCCTGTTTCTTCAGCTTGGTGCAGAGCAGCAGGTCGGTGAAGAGGAAGACGTGACGGAGTTTCCTGGAACCTTCCACCAGCTCCACCATGAAGCGATCCCTCAGCAACTGACGGTTCTACCAACAGGAAATGAGAAATGACGTCATTACACTCATAGTATACGACTCTCATTTGTCTGAAATACACCCCCAATAATCTAAACTATTCAGTATTTTTAAATAATGAAACTGTGAGTGAGAATTAGGGTGCTTTCAACAACTATTCTACTGCAACAAAAGCTGCAATACTAAGAACTGCTGACAGTACAGTATCTCATTTCAAGTTTATATTGATGCTCAGTTCAAACTGCTTGAATTTGGGGTTCACAAACAATGATTTTGTGCTGATCTTTGTACGTGCTTATAATTACTGTACACATTAATGTGCTGTCGGATGAATGCTACCAAACCTCATGGCGGCAGTAAACACAATAATCGAAAACAATAAATCATTTGCAACGTGTCCAAAACAAGGCAGCATGTGTGCAGCATGTTTCTTCAACCAGCAGCAGCATCCTCAGCGATCCGTCCAGCCCACGCTAGAAACATATGACGACATGAGCTCTTCCTGCAGCAGCCTCAGCCTTAGAGGTCAAAAGGCTGAGGCTGCGGTTTACAATGACACTGCCCATGTGAGACTTCACCATCCCACACCAACCACAGTCCAACAAAAACAAGGAAACCACTGCAGCATGGCTTTCCTATTCTGTTTTCGGGACACAGGACGAAACAGCCCCTCGAACATGTTAAGCACTGTCCTGGTTTCAAAGAGAAGAGGACATCCGCTTATTATGTTGTGGCACAGACACAACCGCAAATAGTCAATAATCCAATGGAAAAACAAGAGCTGTAACTGCACAGTGCTCATGCCCTCCTGGCACTGGAATCTGCTTCTGTTTTTATTGTGCACCATAATGACATGTTGTGCAGTGAGGCATGTACAAGTAGTGGAACTAAACAAACTCATGAGTTTAAATGGTCAGGGAAATTACGGTGCTAAACATTTGCAATGGGTGCAAAGTTGGTCCCAATAACTCGTATTTCCAGCTGGTGACTGAACTGTCATGTGCTGGCTTGTTATCTGTCAATCTCCTTGTGGGACTTCAGACCTCCTCGACTATGCACAGAAGAATTTTCCCAAGAACTTTCTTTGATTTAATATCCCACACAGGTGGGCTGGGCCAGTTCCCAGAAAAAAACAGAGGAAGTTCTTATTCAGGTCATCTGAATCAGAGCCCTGAGATGCATGGTGTGTGAGGGGGGGGGGGGGGGGGGGGGGGG